GCGCGCGCGCGACTCATCATCATTATACACATCAAGCATCACATCAGTCTCAAATGCTGTAACAGAAGCCTTAGCCTCAGCCTCAGCTTCAGCCTCAACTTCAGCATTGGCAACACTCGCAACGTCACTGGGTTGCAACTGAAGTGCTTTAATTTCTATATGAAGAAAGCAAAGTAAAATTAAAACCTTAAACACAAAAATACACGAATCCATTGAATTTTTATGGTTCACCGCAAAGCACATCACCCAAGTATCATCAACTTCATCATCAACATCATCATCAGCAACTCCGTCAGTATCGCCAACATCATTTGTACTTTACTCTTAGTCAATTCTTGTGGCACTTATTTAATATATATTTTTTTTGTTTTGTTTTCTGCTCTGTGTTGCGCCTCCTGCTCTGTAATTTCTTTGCCACTAGATTTAAATCACTCCAGTTGACGAGAAAACTAGTTCAAGTCCTGTTTTTGTCAATTTTTCTGCAATCTTTAAAAAAAAATAAGTCTTTGTGTCTTTTCAGGCAGTTGAGCAACTTTTGCCTCCACTATCGGCTCGAAAATATTTCCTTACCAATGTTGTTTTGATTGCTGCTGTTGCTAATGTTGTAACATTATACTCGTATTGCTCCATATCTGCCGGACCGCATTAGATAAGTTCTTAAGTTGTGCTGTTCTTCTGCACTTCGTCTACTCTTCTTAGTGCTTCTTAATTATTAAGTCGCTACACATGCAAATTACTCCAGGGCTATATTTGTCCTTAAGTACCGTAGACAAAGTTTCTGATTGAATATTATTACTCCAGACTGATTGATGGCAACAGAATGTAGTGTGCAGATATCGTATCACTCACTAATCACCGATTTTACAAATATATTTTAATAATAATGTAGAAAATTGTGAAACGGGCACAAGTGTTTTGACTCGAATCGTATTTTACAGATTTTACAGACAGCGTTTAGTAATAATTTAATTAAATATTACACAGATATCTGCTGCTAAGTGGTCATCATTAAAAGTGCATAACTTGTTCCTACTTTCAAATGTGACTAAGATCAATTCAAATGCCCTTGGATCAGAAGCCTTTTAATGGTATATAATATACGAGCATAATTTCGTATTAAGTTGTTTTTAATGAGTGCTTAAATATGGGTTTTCTTCCAGCTTTTTCTTCTTTTTTCGTGTATTAAAAGATGTCTCTTAAGTAGTTTAAACGTGTACAAGTAACCAAGTTGGGAAAATAAAATATTTAAAAAATTTATTCATATCAAAGTAAAGACGTGTAAGCACTCAAAAGTAATGCAGTGAGAAAAAAATTTTTACTTCACTAAAATATGTAGCAATCGTCTGCATATCACTCGATACAAAATTGCGATTTAATATTGTAAAATATAGGAGTAGTCATCCATATTATATCTGTCCTTACATATAAATGCTTTTATTATTATTTCTAACAGCCTAAAAGCAATTAAATTAGAATGTATGCAAATTATTTAAGGACTATATTTGTCCTTAAGTACCGGAGACAAAGTTACTAACTGGATAATATTACTTCAGACAATTTTAGGTGCCATGGACAGGAATTTCCTTGTACTACATAACTCTTTCGTGAGAACAGAAGGATATGGTTTTTAAGCTGGTTTTAGTTTCTATAATTCCAACGATTACAATGGTCGACTAAAAGGCTTTAATTTATTAGTTAATGTTTGATAACAATTTTTTAGTTAATCTCAAAACATATGGAAGTGGTTTTATTGGGAAGTGAAAATTTTTTGTTGCAACAAATTTTAATGTTTAAAAAAAGTGACGAACCATTAAGGAAATTTAATTTCAAGCTACAATATAAATAATGCACTAAATTAAAGACTAATGAATAAGAGCTTCCATCGCAAACCTTACTGTACAAAATAACAATATAAAAAACGATTGTCACTGCGAGAACTTCAAAACTGAAACAGACCCTTAAGTTCCTAACCCATTACCCATTATATATCATATATTTAAAATTTCGGAAACACGTAAAAAGTTTGAAAAATTTTAAATTTATTTAAATTATTTGAAAGTGCCTTCCATCTGTTTTATTTCAGTCCTGCACATGCGCGGCCCCGCCGTTCCACTTGAGGAGCTTTCTTTTTTATGGATCTTGGCGAACTGCAAGAGCTCCGCTTAATAGCATTATGAGCTTTGCCAAAGGTTCTAAGTGGTTCAAACTCCTGAGTTTCTAATTATACGGTAACACAATGGGGCATAAGTAGGGTATAAGTGGATCTCTTGGGATCGCCGGTGTAACGTAACCTAACCAAACCTAGATTATTTGTAAGATCGCGAGGATGTTTATTAGTATTACGAGAATATTTAAAAAGTTGTACGTGGAAAAATGTTTTCGAAGTTATATTTATTGATTTTTAATATAATTTCCTCTGAAATCGTTACATTATTTCGTATGATGATTCAACTTTTCATATCCCTATAATTTGTTTATAACATTAAAGTTATCAGCGGAAACCCCTGACGAAAGTTTTTAAAAAAGAAATAGTTTTCACTTTGGTTCAAATCTGATGATCAGTAATTCGAAACAGAATTTGCAACTTTTAACAATGGCGACTACCGAATTTCAAACTAATGTATTTTTCCCCAAAGATATGAGCTTTTCCTTTTAAAATGGAAATATAGAGATATTTTGATATATATAATCCTTTAACTCCTAGGGGAAGCATAGGGCCCGCAAGATATTTTGATAATTACCTTTTACTTTTGTAGCAATATTGCACTGTTTTCGAGACTGTCCTTACTATGGCAGTGACGATACTGACTAACAGCACAGTCTTCATCTTTGCCAGATTTTTTCATAATTTGAATTCATCGTTTTGATAATGCTTTGATCTGTAGCATGTTGTGTTGTGGATCCACGATTCATCGACATTTACCAATCTGAGTCAAATCATCACATTATTTTGTGTAAACTGTTCCAAGGGAGACTTAAAAATGTTTAAACAAACAAATTTTTAATTTTGACCTAAGATCAATAAACGTGATAATCAACACCTATGGAATACTTTCTGACGCTAATATCTCCATGTGATGTTTTCTAAATTTTATCAACTGAAAGTTTTCAATATATTTTTTTCATACTGGTATTTGCATAAAATATATATTTAATTTATATTTTTAAATTATAAGTAATTAATTTTAAATTATAAATAGTTAATATTTGTTTTAAATTATGTACGGAAGTACTTGATCGGTATAATAAGACCATTTGAATAAGTTGCCTCTTTATCAGCCTCTCTATATGGTTAGTGACCTAGCAGGCTTTCAGTTAGCAGGAGTATTGAAAGTTTGTCTAAAGGTAAACATAATTTATATATTTAAATAAACAAATATTAATCATTTTGATTGTAGTTATTATGTTCAAAGGTGAAAAAATTTGTTTTTCAAATGAAAAAATATTCCCTAAAGCGATCATGGACTGTGCGATACATTTATGAAAAACAAAATAGGAAAACAGAATTTGTGATAGTGAGGGTTAATAATATAGTTTTGTGGCGATATACATATAAATTAACTAGTCTGTTTTTTAATTACTTTTTATAATAATTTATTTATGTCCACAACCAATATACATGTATTATATACAATTGCTTTAAATTGAATGAGAAGAAGTCATTCAATATACCCAGACTACAAAATAAGATTGTTTATAGTGAGTGAGTTCTAACCTAAATTGTTAGAAGCTTATTAACAGCTAAATAACAAAAATTATAAAAGTTCTATTAGAACGCTATAGCTTTAACTCTCACCTCACAAATCTGAGAATTAACTTTGGCAGAATACCACCGGTACAAATGTGCTAAGAAGTTACCCGGCACTGATGCATAAATGGAAGGCATAACTAGTGGAACATTTGATATGAGATACGGAAAAAACATTCGGTTGATATATCAATTTATTGAAAAAATTGAGTTTAGGGAATTATGATGAATCTATGAAATGGACACAAATGATTTTTAAGTCGCAGCTTAAAAATAATACAATTGCTTTATGAACAAAACGTCAGGTCTTTTTTAAAAATGTGATTAGTATCGATTTTACCATTATATTTCATTAAATATGTTTTCTAATATAACTGAAATTCAACCGAAGAGATATTGTACCAGATTATTGTGGAAATGTTACTTACAAAATATAGATCAAGAATAAACTAAGCACGGTTAAGATTTGAAGTAATCATTGGTACGATATTGATTTTATATTGTCGATAAAAAAAAAAATTTTTAATTTTTCCTAAAATTTTACCTAAAGTATTTTACAAAATAAACCGATTTTTTTAGAAAATCTATTAATTAGCTGCAACACGTCTTCATACTATTACGTGATTTTTCAATAAATCGTAATTACATATGTTGTTGAAACATTTCTGACATACATACCTACGAATCTTCCATAGTACAATGAATTTAATCCATTATAATTTTAAACTTTTTAGAATTAGTTTAAAATCTAGGATAAATTCATTATCATAATTATTATTATTTCGCTCCACGATACGGATTGCATATTAGTCTCTCATAAAAATTATTCCATCTTCCTCTATCTCTTGATACTATTCTCAAGCTATTGACAGATAGTTTAATCACAGTTATTTAAATCAAAAAAAAAATTTAATATAACTGATAAATGACATAGTTAATTAACTTTTTCAAGTATTCGATCTTCCTGGAACTGTAGATTTATATTTAGATATATAACTATTATAATTTGCTTTCAAAACCACAATATTTTTTTTAAATAAAAAGTTGTTAATTTTTTTTAAATTAAAAATTTTATGTTTTATATTTTATATTTAAATTAAATTATACTTAAAAAATATTTAACATTTTTGCATGTAATTTATAAAAAATGCATATACTGAGCGTAAAAAGGTACTTAAAATAGTTTTATGTCTTCCCTACTCCTAACTGAATTAATTTTAATCATTGTCTTCCTTTATATACGAGATATACGAGATAAATACAATTCTAAAGATATTTTTACAAAAATTCACTTTAAATGCAAGGCACCGAAATTTATAACTAACATTGACTAGATTACAAATATATTTACAATTATACACCCGAAACGAAAATCCCTGATATAACATCTCCCCATGCAGAAGATGAAGTGCTTAACTACTGCTCCTGCCACAATGAGATATAATCGAGTATTTCATCGTCGTCTGGCGTGCAGTCCTCCTCATGCAAATTGAAGCTGTCGTAAGGTTCGAATTTGAGCTGTAGATGTGCGTCTAGGTGCGTGCTGTGGCTGCTGTTATTGGCACTCATATGTGACGGTGACAATTGTTGTGCTGGTTCAAAAGTGCCAGAATCGAAGGACATGCTGGAATTGAATGATGAGGTAGGTGAATGGCAAACATTGTCCGTTTGGGTCTGTGGTGGAGAGTAAGCGCTAAGTGAGATTGGCGTTAGCAATGTACTTGAAAACTGTTGCGCCTGCTGTGCCAAATCATGTTGTTGCTGTTGTAAAGCTTGAAAGCCGGGCAGCGGTGGTGTGGACGCGTTTGTGTAGTACATTTGATTTGTGGCACTGAGTGGAGTAGTTGGCGGTGGTGGAGAGCTGGTAGTGGAACAGTCACTGAATGAAATACTGCTGGCTGTGTCACAATTACTACTGAAGTCTTCGACAATGTCCTGCAAGCGACGTATGTACTCCACAGCAATACGCAAAGTATCGACTTTACTGATTTTCTTGTGTGGACCACGTCCACCGCCTTTGGTCAGGTCAGCTATTATAGATTGCGGTATATGTTGACGTAGTTTTGCAAAACTATTATTTACTTGCTTGACACGATTTCGTTCCCGTGCGTTGCGACGCTGCACTGACTGAGTCTGATCGACGCTGTACGGACCGTTACTGGCGCGTGGCGTATATTTGCGCACCTTATTGTCCCCAACTGGGGCAGGTGCAATATTTTGATATTTCAACATATTTGTTGCAATTTTAGTGTTCTTTGGGTATAAATTTAAATTTTTATTTTGAGCGACACTGCTTTGCATATTATTTATAATAGTCACAATAAGAAAAGCTTTATTAATTTTTTAATTTTTGATACGCAATTCGGATTTAAATCAACACGTTTGTTAGAGTTCGGTATTTTTCACTGACGTACTTGTTTCTGCAACACATAACACAAGAATGAATCCCTTTGTCCTAAACCTTTACATTTTGTACCTTTGCCGTCGTTGCCAAGGTTTCAATAACGAAGAGCGCACATCGCTGCGGCTGAGCAAATTGAACCGACATTTACCTGTGATCTTCAATAACAAACAGGTAAAAAACTTCGACCGAAACGATAACAACACAACAAACTCTTGTACAGCACAGCAAAGTGAGTAGTGAGAGTGAGAGCGAGAGAGTGTAGAGCATGGGATATACAAAGTGGTGTTTTGTGCTCAGTAACTCTTTGCTTCGGAATTTCCTCTGCGCGACGATCGGTTGATGTTTGCAGAAAAGGTACAAATCCTGCTTAATATATGGTTTCGTTATTGAAACTGTTCCCAACCTGAAGAGATTCCCCTAATTCCGACGAGCTTGCACGATTTGTATTGAGATTCTTTGGTTTTTACAGATTTTGAATGATTTCTCTCGACAGTGCAGTTATGACTGTGGAGTGGTTGGGGTTGTTAAGCATTTTGATGAAAGATACAACGGATTGGAAGTTACCAAAAGTATCTTCAGCGAAGTTTCACATTTTCGTAATATTGTTATAAAAATATGAATAGGTCTGATATATTAAAAAAGATAACTGAAATTGTAGAAATAAAATTTTCAATTTAATATACATTTGCGAGTACATGAGTATGAATACATAAAATATATATTAAAATCATGTTTTCAAAATGTGATTGAATGCATTTTATATAAATTAAAATTATTGGAAAAAAATTTTAAAATTCAAATGAAATAATTTAATTATTTTAAATATGAATATACATTATTTTAAATAATTTGAAGAAAAAAAAGATACCCTTTAAATTTCAGTTTAGAACAATAGAACTTTAATGGCATATAAAAGATATGTTTTAATAAATTTGTTTATTTTTTAGATTTAATAATATAATACCTTTATATATTAAATTTCTTTTTAATTTTTTGTTTTATATAATTTATATATATATAATTTACTTCTATCACCTTTATGTGCATTTATTTTAAAAATTTATGATTCCTTTAATTTATTATTTTTAAAGACGTTTTCGAAATTAAATTTTTTTTAAATATAATTTTAATTTTTTTTTAAAAAAAAATTAATTTAAAAAATTTCAAATTCCCAAACAGATTTTTTTAACTGTCTCGGCATAAACTATTTATTTTTTTCATAAAATTTGCAAGCTTTCAATTGATGAAAGATTTATATGAAACACATTTACATATTATAATAATATAATATTTACAAACTTACATATTTATATGCTGTTTTTATATTTTTTTAAATCTTTTATTTTAAAAATAATATTATTTAATTTACTCTTACCGGTTTTATATGCATTTATTTAAAAAGTTATTAATTAAATGAAATTAATTTTTTTTGAAATATTTACAAAAAAATTATTTCAAAAATTTGTAATTCCAAAACAAAAATTTTTAACCGTCCTTTTGATTTTTTTTCCGAAATATTAACAATTTATAATTCTTATCTAAGCCTCTATTTAAAATAATTTATAGCGGCTTAATAATAATTTATATTTAATCTTAAAATTATATCTTATTCATTATATTTTTTTTTTTATGTCAATAACTTACTGAATTAATTTTCCTAAGCGTATAGTTCAATAAACTGTATAGTAGGTTTTCAATATATAACTATTATAGTTACTTATATTATTATATTCACTTCTATATATGACATAAATATTTCTACAAAATAGAAATCACAAGTTCCAATTATTTATTTAATAAATACTTTGGTATTAAATTTGAGTTTAATGTCAATATAACTGTAGTGTCTACTTTAGTTAATAGAAACTGTTGTATTTAATTGAGGGGTTTCAAATAGTAGTGAATTGCTACGAAAAATTTTTTTATTATTTTAAATTAATTTAAGTTATGGCTAGTTATACAGCTGTTTCGAGTATTGCCAAATATCCATTATCAGTGGCAACTATCAAGGATTGAACTAGTTTCCTGTCATTTAGCGCTAGCGCTTTAAATCGCCACTAAGTTTCAATATAACCAAATATTTTTGGTTATAAAATAATATATATATTTTTTTAAAGCACACTCTTAAATTCTTTTTTATTATTTTTACCATTCCAACTCAAAAAAAAACATATCTTCACTTCATAAAAATTTCACTTTTATATATGGCAATTCGAAAATTTGGTACCAATCTTCGAGCAATAAAAACATTTAATATTATGCATGTAAAAACAATTATGAGAATATAAAATTTTTTATGGTTTTGTTAATATTTTAAATCTAAAATATAGTCACAACTGTATATGCCATAAACACGCCATAAAACCTTAGCCAAGTTTAAATGAATTTTTATGTATTTTAAATTAGACTTTAATCAAAGGATAAACGTATTAAATGCTACGCCATGAATTTCCTCATATTTGACAACAAAGTTGCACAAAATTAAGTTGCAATCCTCAAAAGACACAAACTAATCGCATTTATACATAAAAATTATACATAAACGCTAAAGGATCAACGATATAGATTTTTATTAGGCACTTACCACGTAGGTGGCGATTTTATGCGATTTTAAGTTCGGAATGTATTGCTTTTGAATCGAGTCTGAGCTCTTTTTAAACGGATTGCACTACTGAGGAAGCTCATAAAAAGTAATCTTGGAAGAAAACGCTAATGTTATGGCTCAATATTCTATAGAATGTAATGACTACTCTGCAGAAAATATGAATGAAGTTATTTAAGATACATAGAATATTATGTTATTATAGATTATTATGAAAAATATGTATATATCTTCATTTTTCTTCTTTGCTTGATCAGACGCGAGTTATTGTCTAAAGAACTCTTATTCAATAATGACTGTTTTTAGATTTAGATGATGATTTAGATGATCCACTGTAATAAGAGATCCGTTTAATTCTTATTATTTAGATAATTTTATAGAAATATCCTTTGTTAAAAAATATACTTTAAAACTAATAAAGAATATTAAGTTAACTTGGGTAAACGTAAATTAAAAAAATTAAAGAGTATATTATAAAAAAATATTGAAGTAAATAAGAGCCAAACTTAACACATCCAATAACTATAGTAGTTTGTTTTTAGTTTAATATGAAGAAATTTGATTGCAACTCCCAAAGAAAGGACATATATGATACAATGGATAATATAATCAAAACTACCACCAAAAAATCTAGAGTACTCTAGATTAGAATCTAGATTAGATTCTAGAGTACTTTATATTCTTTGCTACCACGTTACTGAGTCACGCTGCTTTGGCATACGTATTCTGATAGTTGTTCCAGATAGCAAATGATACAAAAATACATAGATAGTTTATGTTAAAGAAATGTATGACAACAGTATAAATGACCAGCTGATTTCAGCCTGACTACAGAGAATTCGATATCGGAAATAAAAATCAAAAAGCGAGTTTTAATGTAACCGCGTCATATTAGCTAAAAAGTTGTATATAAGCTAAGTGTCTTCCATTTGTTATTGGTAAAGTGAAAAATGTAGAGATAACTGCTTTTCTTCTAACGGTCTATAGGATAACATTAACCGGTAGGGATGACTGGTAGGACATTGTCTAACTTTTTAAGTGCAGCTCACAAGCTATTTTTTTTTACCAAAATAATACTTCTTAGGTTGACTTAGTCAGAAATTTAAAAAAAAATAAAGGTAAAATGCTTATAAGAGAAAGTTATACGTCTCCGCTCTACTAGGTATTGAAGCTTCAAAAACGAAAAAAGAAAACAAAAACTATATCTTAAAGAGAGAAGAGATTAAAACTTCTAGAAACCTTTTACAAAGATTTTATAAAGATATTATATGAAAATGTTAACACACTAAGCTATTTCTCGGAGAAGGAAGAAATCAGGAGTTCTGAAAGCTTCTACATTATTATATTATCTTTATTAGATATAAGACTATGTTAACAATTGGTATTTAGAAGTTTATTTGGCCAAGCTTGAAATACCAGGACAGTTGAGGCTAAATGTATACACAAAGTCTTATTTACCGAACAGGTATTATTCCTTACTCTTTGATCGTCTTCAAACCCATTAGTTAAAAAATTTGATGTATACGCAGTTGATCAGTATGAAACGGAATTGCAAATAATACTCGTAATCTTCTGTTATAGAGAATATGGTCTTCAGTGAATCCATTAAAAATGTTAAACTAAGTTAACTTAAATCAATTTGATCCACCGGTTAATATTAATTAATATTAAACGATTTATGATAACTTCAAGTACAAAAATAAAAATATTTTTTGAAATAATTATTAATTATTGGGTTCATATAAAATATAGAAAACAATGTAGGAAAATAGTGCCTTGAGTTCTTAGATTTGATTTACTGAAATACTTTTTTCCTCAGCAATCGCTCTATACTTTTAGACATTAATGATATATATAATTAAAAGCTTTCGTATCATAGGAGCTTTGAGCTCCTATCAAGTGAAGTTAGAGATGGCTTTCCTCATATAAGACTTTCAAGAAAGTATAGAAATAAATGATATATTCCAACTATTTTGTTGTTGTAATTCACTACTGCTCAAAATATCTCTCTATTAAAACATTAATTTCTATTAAGAAACGAGTTCATTCGTCATAATTGACTTTTGACAGCAAAAATAATTGCGAATAAAAACACACTATTAAAGATATTTTGGGCTTTTTAAGCATACTACATATAAACATTTATAATTAATAAAAAATTTTTAAGTTAGGTTTCAATAACTTTTACGTTTTTAGATTTCATATTTTTGTCAAAAATAAGATAAC